TATCAAAGGGGTGTTGTTATCACTAATGATGGCCAAAAAAGAAAACCAACTTAAATTTCAGGGGTGAAAAACAAACAAAAAGTTGTATAGGCATATAACAGACTTTACTATTTGCAAGGACTAAAAACATATATAAACCTATGAATTTTGCTTCGTGTACACGCCCGGTTACACGTTGGCTTACACGCTCAAGTTTAATTGTTTGTGCACACACAATTACATTTGAGTTTTAGTAAAGGGAAGTGTCTGTGACTCCAAAAAATTAATTGTCTGTGCACAGACAATTCGAGATCACAAACATTTCCCATTACTAAGTCGGTGTGTAACCGGGCGTGCTTACGAATCAAAATTCTTAAACCTATTGTTGGACTATATTGCCATATACTTCAGGGGTATCAACACATGTAAAAAAGTATCACGAATCCACTAAGCCAACTCTAGCAAAGGCTGAGGCTGAGCTCAAGACCGGTTCTCGTATCACCACGATAAGTCTAAAACTGCACCAACCAAGCATTCCCGCCCAACTGGTTGTGAGGTTACCGTGCCTAGTGAGAGGTCTCAAGTTCGAAACCCGCTAGGCACACAAGGGTTTGAAACTCAATGGAGTGAGTTTCAGCCCTGATTACTCCAACCCCAACCCCCTCCTCCAGACACCCTGGAGTAAAAAAAAAGTCTAAAACTGCACCCAAGACCGAGGTCGGCCCTCGTCTGAGGTTGGTATCATCTCCAGCTCTACAACCGAGCTTTAGGACAGTTCATGCGTTATAAGCTCAAGATCAACAAGTACAACTTCACTTCTTATTGTGAGTCGATGTTCCTCACATCCAAGCTAAACACTTATACCCGAGCTAGATGTCTATACACTTGGGCCGAGCTCAGAGCCTCGGGTGGACGTTATAGACTTAAGCATTTCACCATTAAGGTCATACAACATTTAGGATTATGTCACCTTGTGACAACTGTCATAGGGTTGACGTCACGTAGTACGGTTACATCTGTCACCTGCCAGGTTTACATGTGTGGCTTATGCAACCATTATAGTACGTAGAGGGCAAATGTCGATAGAATAGTACCAATCGACCAATCAATTAGATACCCTTTCCCCAATTAAGCCTTACACTTGGCAATAGATTAGTGGATAAGTTAATTTTACTTGTTCACCAATTATTTCCTTATACACTATAAATATCACCTTCCAACTTGTGCAATGAGATCACAATTATGCTTTTCTAGCATATTGACTCTGCCAAATTTCTTACCCAGTTCATACTTTGCTTACTCTTCAACTCTCCCTCAGTTTTGCCACCCCTAGGTTGGTAAAGTCATCACCAATGATAGAAGTTGCACAAAGTACATAAGTTTTTTTAAGTATTACTGAAATAAAATTGATCTACTTGAAGTTTGAGCCTAACCTCTTTGTTGAACACCTGAAATTTGATCATTACTTTCCAAATGGTAAGACATTTGTTTTTGGAGGAGACATCTAACAAGTATTACAGATAATTCCACAAGGAAGTAGACAAGATGTTGCCAATTCTACTCAACTCTTATTATATATTTGGGAGAGTTGCATAATTTTAAGATTAACTAAAAACATGAGGTTATGACTTAGGGACTTTTGCTAATTGTATTGCAAACATAGGCGATGGTATAACTAAAGAGGTGAATGATGATTGTGTATCTATTAAAAGAAATAATGACCTAGATATTACCTATGGACTTTGCATAGACAAAAATATGACCAACTCACATTCAATACAAAAAAATGACTTAGAGTTAAATAAGTTCCAATTACCCTAAGGCTATGTTTGGCAAGCCACATAAGCTCAAAAAGGATCGAAATGTTTACAATCCAGTCAGTTTTAATTAAAGTAGTCATGTTTATTTGAGGAACTGAATCAGACTTGAACTGAAATAAATGATCTGAAGCGAAACGTTGAAGAGGGGAACGTTTGTATTCAACCACTCCTTTCCGGACCCTTTATTCCGATCGTATCCATCTTCCATCGTAATAAAACCTCTCTGCTATTGTTTCTTCCCCAACCGGTTAGCAGTGGTCCGGCCGGGCGAAACTCCCACCGGTGACTGAGAAATGCAATCCCTCATTATATAAAATAGTTGAAAAATATAATTCACGCCAAGCTTAACTAATCTATGAAACCATAGGTTGATTCTGATAAAATCCCCCACGAACTCATTCAAGTAAGATTCTAAGAGAAACACTTTAATATGTACAAAGCATCATTCGGCCAAGAGGAATTGAAGTTCAGAAGCCGAACAAGAAGACAATTCTTGAAGGTGGAAAGCTGCATAATTAGGATAGCAACAACGAACCTTGGAGAAAAACTTTCTTTACTTCAGGGGTTACTTTATTTAATTGTTTGTGGTATTTTTTAATCTTAGTAATTCAGTAGCTCGTTTTATATAAATTATATAAATTAGTCTTCCTAATTATATAATCTAATACATATATAAATATACTCCGTATGCACTAATTTTTTTAAAAGGGGTTTTTTGAATGATTTTTTAAAAGGCTGAAAATGTAAAAATCATTATAATAAGTATTTTATTCCATTAATAAATAATATGTCCTTTAATGTAATTTCATATTATCCCAGCATTTTTTCTGCTCTTTTTGTCAAACGAGTCTATTCCATTTAGCTATCAATTCAGATTCAGCACTTCAAACTTCAATTCTGGGCAATAGTCCCGACAATACTTTTAGGTTGTGCAAAACATAGCCTAAAACTCCTAATCCGTATCTTTCCCATCTCTTGGAGCAGCTACTTCATCTCCCTCCTTCAGTGATCTCTTTCTCCTCCAAAGATTTCTTCACTACAACTCCAAAATCAACCTTGACAGATACGACACTAGGCGTCCTCGCATTGGCGATAGACGGCGGCTGGATTGATGCTCTAACGATGAGAGACCATGTCTGCTGCAATTGTGGCTTACAGAGGTCGAATTCAAGGTTGACTCTTCCTCCCGGCCACACCCGCCATCAATCGACTGTATATCTTCGCTCCCCAACGTCTTATTCCACTTCTCCTCTTCTATTAATACACAATTTGGATGGGGGAATTTGGGTTAGGGTTTCTGCCCATTAATTGGGTGTGGCGGTGGACAAAGATGGGACAGGGTTGTTGTCTAGAGGTTCACGACGATTCAGCTGTCTAGTGAGCGGTGGCAGGCAGCGTTATTGTCTGGTTCGTGGCTGTAAAATCGTGATGTTCATTTTAAAGCTCCTTATGGCTGCTCTCAGACAGTTGATTCCCTTTGAAGGTTGTTTGTGGTGGAAGATGGAGATTGGAGAAGGGGTTTCACTTGTTGTAGCAATGGATAGGGCAGTGACAGGCTGTTTGTTGGTCCCGTTTAAACTAGGAACAGTCTAGAGGGGGTGAATAGTCTGTTGAAGATATTTCAAACTTTTCTCAAAGTCACAAGTGACTTGACAAAGATGGTCTGATTCTGATGACAGAGAGGGTCAAGTTCTGATGACAGAATTGGACTTGGCAGCGGATAAGAGTTTTGTTTGGGTAGCCTTAGGAAAAACACTAAGGCAAATGCCTTTCTGTTAACTCTTAGGACAAGATCTGCTGAACACAGAGTCCAAGTCTTTGAGTTAAACAGTCAGAATCTTAAATGCAAATAATTAATGCGTAAAGTAAATGACACCAGGGATTTTTATAGTGGTTCAAGGAACAACGTGTTCCTCTAGTCCACTGTTCAACTAAGCTTGTAAGTTAACAATTACAATGCCTTAGTCTCTAGAACTTAAGAAGCACTCCACGTCTTCTTCAAGCCTAGTTGTCACCCAGGATGCTCTTCCTGGCTTCCTCATGACTGGTATCGTTTCACTGAGTCTCTTGAAGTATCCCCACTTCATTACTCCAGCTAGTTTGAGACGTCCATTCTTTTGCAAGAAGTGTTTTGATTCAAAATCAGTTTTCTCCAACATAGCTTCGTCACAAAGGATGTGTAAATGAGCCTTTAGAAGTGTTGAAGAACTGTTGGAACTTTTCTCTTGTTGGAATATGGAGATATGAAAATGTTATCTGTCCAACGTAAACTTTTCTTGTTGAGGAAGATGAAGATGTTTATCTCAAGAAGGCCTTTTTTAATGATGTAGAGGGAAAAAGTTATCCTGTAGTTCTTCGAAGTGTATCTTATATACTGGGAGCTGACTTCCCGTTAGAGTGTAGAAGACAGCTTCATTAAATGTTTGTACTGTTGATTTGACCGGTTGGTTCTTTGACTTGCTATTTTGGGGGCGAAAGGATATCCGCATGGTCAATCATCAGCTTTAAATATCGCTTCGTATGTACCGCATTAATTGAGCATTTAATGCGTGAATAGTACCATGTCCCGTTGAAAGTCTTCTAGCCGTTAGGGTATTTCCCGTTAGTTTCACGGCCGCTTGGAGTAACTTCAAATTCTTCCGAGTGTTGAGCACTTCTGGTAGAGGCAGTAGAGGGAAACTCTGTTGATATCCTAACCTTCTATTTTTGTTGCTTCTCTGGTCAAGCAGAGATCCTGAGGTTCTCTGTCCTGTCGAATATGTTACTGATAGAGTATATCTAGAGAGAAGTGAGAGCTAGAGAGAGAAGTGCAATAATATTCTTCAATAGAATGATTTTGTAACCCTGATAACTACCTCCAGAGGAAGTATTTATAGGGAAAATGCGGGTTGGGCTCCCAAGCCTTAGGCCTTAGGCTTGGGAGTGCCCGCATAGGCCAAAAGCACCAAAGCCCGCATAATATTCTTCAATAGAATGATTTCGTATACTTAGCTTCCTGGGACTTTGATCTAGTGTTAATAGGGGATTCGCACTTAGATCCAAAGTAGAGACCTTTAGGGCTTTAATAGTTGTAATGATGAAGAGTTTGGACGAGGAGTACTACCCCTACGACGACCAGCCCTCCACTAGGTCCCTTGACTACGAGGTGCTCGAGGAGTTTGAGGAGGAAATAGAGCGTTTGAGCCCCTATAAGTCCGGAGGGTCGGAGGACGACAAGGGTAAGGACGAGGAGTCTGCCTCGTCTTCGGGAGGCGAGGACGCAGGTGCATCCCGAGTGGTGGACGGGGCGTCCGCTTCCACTGTTATTCCGTGCCCGAGGCCGGTGTCAGCCGTGAAGGGAGCAGAGAAGCCGAAGAGGATAAGGAGGCCGAGGAGTGGGCCAGGGTACTCCCACCTGGATCTGACGAATATCTACCTTATCAAACCGGAGAGCAACGCGGCCGATTACCTTGTCGCGCAGATGTATGTGGGGCCGTTCGGGAGGGTTAGGGCACCCAGGCCGACGGACCATGTACTTAATCCGCCGCCGGGATACTTTGGAGTGTACCCGATGAGCTTCGCCAAGGGGCTGAGATTTCCCCTTCATCCCTTCATCACGAAATACTTGGACATGGTGGGGCTTCCTCCGGCCTTGCTGACCCCGAATAGCTACTCGTTGATGGTGGGCTTCTTGCTCCGCTGTGAGGAGTTGGGCTACAAGCCGACGACAGCTCTCTTCATGAACCTCTACCAGATTGGCCGAGGAAGTCACAAGAACTGTGCGTCCTACGCCACCCTCCAACAATTGCCGAAGAAGAGGAGCTTCACGCACTTGCCTTCGTCCATCCATGGTTGGAAGAGCAAGTTCGTTTTCGTGTCCCTTGGTGAGAACGGCACTGAATTTCCCTCTCTCGGCCATACTGGGAGGTTCAATCTGCACGACCCGTCGAAGAGTTCGATCTTGGACGCTCAGGTGGAGGCGTTCCTGGACGGGGGGCCGAGGAGCGTGAAAGACTACATCACCGAGTATAAGATGACCGCCCTCGGCTTCTTTAGGTACTATGTGTATGGTGACAAGGAGGACGATGTCCAACTGTGGCTGAGGATGACCACTACCTTTGAGGAGGCCGACGGCCCGGATTTGGGCATTCCTGCTGAGGCCGATGGTAATACTTTCTCCGGCTTTCTTCCTTTGTTTTTTGTTCTTTTGCCTTGCTAACCTGTTCATTTTCCTTTGTGTAGACTTTGTGATGGATCGACGTTCGATCATGGCCATAGCCAAGGCCAAGGTGGCCGAGGCGGCCGAGGCGGCGAGGCGTGCCACGGACGAGGGAGGCGGGGCTGTTGCTGGTGTGGCCCCGAAGCCTGCCCAGTCAAAGAAAAAACGACCTCCCACTGACGGCCAGAAGAAGCTGACCGAGACTGGTCTGAATCTCGCCAAGAAGACGAAGAAGGCGCCGTCTCCTTCCCATGCCGATGAGGTCGGCGTTCTGACCGTCCCAAGTGTGGACGATGGTGGTTCTGGCGCTGCCGCCGCCGTTGTGGATCTTTCCGCTGCTCCTTTCAGCGGCGTTGCTCAACCGCTCCCTCTCGTCCAGGAGACTCGGACGAAGCGGGCTGGCAAGGAGATTGCCACTGCCACTTATCGGAAAGTGGTGGAGTACCCCGTCAGCGGGGGTGTCTTTGATGATGGCGTTGACGACCATGATGTGCTTGCCCAGGCCATGCCGGCCAAGGATCGGGCCTACCTCAAGAAGCTCGGGGACTTCAAGGTCTATGAAGGCGGGATGGACCTCATCGTCCAAGTAAGTTCCCTTTCCTTTTATTTGTTGTTTTTCTCTTCGTCTGTGTGAAGTCATTGCCTGAGTCTTTGTTTGCCTTTGTTTTGCAGGGTGCCTTCATGCTCATGGAGAGCCACAAAAGGCAGCAACGGGAGATTGCTCGTCTGAAGGAGCTCGAGCAAAAGGCTGCCTCGGCCGATGAGGCGATGGCCTGCTTGGATCAGCTCCGAGAGGATGCCAAGGCTCTGCAGAAGAGAGCCGATGAGGCTGCTGCAGCGAAGGACGATGCTCTGGCCAAGCTTGCGGAGAGCCAGAGAGCGTTTGAGGTTGAGCGACGCAAGAATGATGAAGCCGTGAAGGCTACGAATTGAGGCCGAGGCTGCCGCTGTGAAGGCCGCTGATGAGGCCGTTCAAAAGTTCCTGGCCGAGGGATGGAAGGCCGACGAGCGGCTCCCCTGGTGCTATGAAGTGGTGGCCGCCAAGCTCGAAGATTGGGGAATGAACTCCCCCGCCGGCCAGGAGTACTTTGGAAGGGAGATGTCCGTGTACTACAACATGGGCCAACAACGGATGCAGAGGCTCCTGTGCCGGCGGCTGGCGCGTGCCCTTAAAGCAATGGTCTATACCTCTGGGTGGGCGAGGCGGAACCTGAGGCTTCCCAGGCTGATGAAGGATCCCGAGGAGCAGGCCAAGCTTCCTCTTTCGGAAAGGGAGGCCCCAATCGATAGTTCCGGCCTCGGCGAGCCGGACTATGATGAGTTTGATTTTTTGGACGACGCTACGAGCTCTGCAGCCACTGTCGGTCAGGACACTGAGGCCGAAGAGGAAGCCGAGGATGCCGATGAGCATACCCATGCTGAGCATGTTGCAGATGAAGGCACCCAGGAGGCGTGATCGGCCATCCCCTTATCTTTTGTTTGTAATTAGTAGCATCCTCTTTTTTACCCAACTTAATGTAATGGCCGTAGCGCCCTCTTGTGTAATTAACATTTTGATGAATGAATGCTTTGCCGGCCTCTTCGGCTGTTGACGTCTATGCTTGTTTCCTTTGCCTTTTCGATTTTGAAATTTGTCTAAGTGTTTGCTACGTCCGTGAGGTAGTCCGTTTAGTCTGGTGGCCTTGTCGGCCTATCCGGTGTTTCTTCGCTGTCGTAACACTTGGGATTTATCCATAAATTTCCTAAGTGTTTTAGATCCACTTACGTGCTTTCTTTCCGTCCTGACCGAGGCGGGCAAGCTGGGGTGTCCGCTGCGTCTTGGCATTGTCTCATTCCTCTTGTTGTTGTTAGAATTTTTCTAAGTTTCCAACTTCAAGTAGGTGGGTGTTCTCATCGTCCTGGTGTTGAGCCTCTCCTCACTGTTGACAAATGCTTTGGGAAATTCCCCAAATGTTGAACCGATGTTGTTGTTGTCGGCCCGGTGTTCTTCGTGGCCGTTGTGTTCCCTTGTTCCTGATCTGATCAGGGAGGTCGGCATGGATCCTTGTGTTGTGGCCGATAAGGGTACACGGGTTGTTGTCCCCTTCGGCCTTGTATGTCTTCGTTTCTTGCCTTGGGTCATTTGAACTTAGTTCTTTGAACATAGAAATTTTTCTAAGTACAAATGCAAGACATAGGTAGCTAACGGCCTGCGGGTATTCAGGTGCCCGCTTCGTCTGGAGTTTCTCCGTTTTAAATACTTAGAAATTTTTCTAAGTATAAATGCCAGACTTAGTTCCTTCTGTGTGGTACTGTTGTCGGCCAAGAGATGGCCCTACCTTCATCGGCCAAGGTCTGGCTTTGTGGCCGATGAGGGTGCATTTTGCTCTCCTCAAGAGTTTCTCTAAGTATCGGAGTTCTCTTAAGGAACCTTTTTACTCAGGAATTTTCTCTAAGTGTTTGGCAAACACTTGGACAAATATTCCCAAAGATCTTCCGCTTGGCCAACCGCCTGAGTTTTAGTGCCTGTAACGGCCATCCGGAATGTTGTGGCCGGTAGGGATTGTTGCTTGAATGCTTAACTCTTCCGCGGGTGTAATACTGCCTGCTTCGTCCTGGGCAATTCTTCCGGTGGTCATCTTCAGGATTGTCACCCAACCACTCTGGTTAGGGTTTCATAGGCGTATGCTTCGTCCTTGACGATCCCCTTGTGGTGTGTGGACGTGTGGCCATATCGTCCATGTCACCTGTTAGTGGCACTACAGTTTTCTTTCGGACGTTCTCCGTTTTTGCTTCACCCAACCCATTGGGTTAGGATTTTGGGCGTACGTGCTTCGTCTGTGACGCTTTCCGTCGTCTGGGATGGACGTGTGGCCGTATCGTCCATGTCACATGTTAGTGGTACTACACTTGTGTTCAACTGATATGTACTTAGCCATGTTTGGCATGAGTTGTGGGGATTTTATTTTTTCATTGCTCGAGGCCGGCAAGTGTGCGCGGTCCTCGACTTCCCTCTTTTCCTTTTTTTTTTGTTTTTTTATTTCCGTTTCCGTTCCCCATTTCGGGGAGTATCCTTCTTTCAGGCTTCGGCCGAAGGGTGTGCTCGTCCTTCGGCCGGTTCGGACTTCGTTTATAACGTCCGTGATCTGAGGGGGGTCCCGTCGCCTATTTATGACGCGGGCTAGACTTTTGGTTGGTTTCCAACGACTGTCGTTGCCCATCCCTGAGTTTTGGGATTTTGTCACCTCGGTCATGATTTCAGGCCTGTCGTCCTGCGATCTGGCGCGTGGACGACGCGGTGAGCTTCCCGTTTCAAGACGTGGGCCGTTTGCGGGCCCCTCGTCCTGGGGACATCGTCGGCCATACCTGAGCTTTTCACTTTAGGCTTACGGGGCCAGGACGATGTGCTCTCTCAGCTAGGCCTGAGCCCTTCGCTGATACAAAATACAACGGAGTATGCCTGAGCTTGTCGCTCGTAGGCTGCAAATGCAAGGTACCACGTCGGCCATGCCTGAGCCTTTCGCTCTAAGGTGGCCGATGAGGGCACCTGCTAATTTTTTACTTTAAATTCCAAGGAAAAGAATCAAGAGGAACATGATTTTATTCATAGGTGGCTCGAGGCCGAGGGTGGCGTTCAATCAGTAACCCGTTAAGGGGTGAGGGCTTCGCCGTCTGCACCTCCTTCGGACTACTGATAAAACTTCACCAGATGGTGTACATTCCACGTTTGTGGTACATTGGACCCATTCGGGCGTTTAAGCTTGTAGGTGTCGGGTTTGACCACGGCACTGACGATGTAGGGCCCTTCGTACTTCAATGCTAGCTTGCCACCCTCCGTCGGCTGGCTTGCTTCCCTTCGGCGGAGGACGTAGTCCCCCACCTGAAATTCTCGGGAACGTACCTTGGCGTCATAGTATGATTTTACTCGACGCCGATAGTTCTCTGCTCGGATGTACGCTTGCTCGCGTCTTTCTTCGACCAGGTGGAGGTCGATTTTCATGTTCTCCTCATTAACCTCTGGGTCATACTGTTCCACCCGTCGGCTGGGAATGGTGACCTCTGTGGGTGCCTTAGCTTCAAAGCCGTAGCACAGGGCAAAAGGTGTTTCACCCGTCGCCCTCCTCGGCGTAGTACGATAGCACCACAAGATGTTGGGGAGCTCGTCGACCCAACTCCCTCCTGCGTCCTGTAGGTTCTTCTTCAGCCCTTCCATTATGGTCGTGTTGGCATTCTCGACTTGCCCGTTGCCTTGAGGGTAGGCAACGGAGGAGAAACGGTGCTTTATCCCCCATTCTCGAAGGAGCTCTTGGAAGGGCGCCGCTTCAAACCGAGCGCCGTTGTCGGATATGATCTCTTGGGGGACACCAAAGCGGGTGAGAATGTTCTTGTGAACGAACTTCTGACACCTGGCCCCCGTGATGCTGGCCAAGCGTTCCGCTTCGACCCACTTAGTGAAGTAGTCGACTGCGACGATGATGTAGCGGTTGTTGCCGGCAGCTCTGGGCAGAGGGCCGACCAGGTCAATCCCCCACCTTGAGAACGGAATAGCAGTGCTGACGGGGGCGTAGTTGACGGCTGGCCGACCAGGGGCCTTCTGGAGTACCTGGCACGTTGTACACTTCCTGGCCAGGTCCGCACAATCTCGCGCCATCGTCGGCCAGAAATAGCCCTGGACGACGAGACGCCGAGACATGCTGAAAGGGCCCTGGTGCGAGGAGCAGACGCCACAATGAACTTCTTCCATGGCCACGTCGGCCTCATCCTGGTGCAGGCATCGGAGGAGAGTGCCATTATAGGATCGTTTGTAGAGCTTGCCATCTTCAATGGTGTAGCTTGGGGCCCTGAGTTTGGCGAGCTTGGCCCTCTCCTCGTCCGGGGGCAGCTCCCCCGTCGTGATGAAGGTGACGATGTCGGAGATCCAGTCCTCCGGTCGCTGTTGGACGCACAAGACGGGGCTGGCATGGATGCTGGACATGCTCAACTCCTCGATCTTGACTAGTTGGAAGATGTGCTCCGGGGTGTTCGAGCTGAGTTTGGAGAGGATGTCGGCCTCGGCGTTCTTGGCCCTTGGGATCTGTGCGATCTCGTGGGTTTCGAACGCCTTCAGCAGATCCTCCGCTGCTTGTTTGTACTGCTTCATCCGGCCTTCCTTTGCTTCGTACATGCCCTCGACCTGACCCACTACCAGCTTGGAGTCGCACCTGATTTTGATATGTCGGGCTCTGAGGCTGGCGGCGAGTCTGAGGCCGCTGAGGAGGGCCTCATACTCGGCTTCGTTGTTGGATACCCTGAAGTTGAAGCGGATGACATAGTAAGCTCTGAATCCCTCAGGGGATATGAGGACGACGCCGCCACCGCGTGACTTCGCGAACGACGAGCCGTCAGTGAAGAGGATCGATGTGTCATCGGGCTCTGGCCCGGGGGCGGCAACGGCTGTCTCCCTTGCCATGCATTCGGTGACGAAGTTGGCCAAAGCCTGCCCCTTGATGGATGGCCTTGGCTTGATTTCAATCTGAAATTGACTGAGGAAGATCGCCCATTTCACCATTCTTGAGGAGCTAGTGGGGCTCCTCATGAGCGCGCCGAGGGGCTGCTGGGTTAGCACATGGACGGCGTGGGCCTGGAAGTAGTGACCCAGCTTCTTCACCGTATGGACGATGGCCAACACCGTCTTCTCAATGGGGGAGTACCTGAGCTCGGCCTCCCTGAGTGTCTTGCTGATGTAGAAGATGGCCTTCTGCACCCCTTCGTCCTCACGGATGAGCACAGAGCTGATGGCCAACGTGCTCACCCCTAAGTACAAGAAGAGGGTTTCACCGGCTTTGGGCTTGGAGAGCACGGGCGGGGACGATAGGTACCTCTTCAACTCTTCGAACGCTTCCTGGCACTCCGTCGTCCACTTGAAGCTGTTGGCTTTACGCATGATCTGAAAGAAGAGGAGTGCCCTTTCGGTTGACCTGGAGAGGAAACGGTTCAGGGCCGCCAGGCGCCCCGTCAGGCGCTGTACTTCCTTGACGTTGCGGGGCGGCTCCATGTTGATGATAGCCTGTGTCTTCTCCGGGTTTATCTCGATGCCTCTCCGGCTTACCATGTAGCCGAGGAACTTGCCGCCTTGGACGCCGAAGGCGCACTTCTTGGGGTTGAGGTGGAGCCTGAACTCCTTCATGATTTCAAAGATTTCCCGGAGGTCGTCGGCATGGGTGGAGGCCTGCCTGGTCTTGACGATCATGTCGTCGACGTATGCCTCCATCGTCTGGCCGAGGACTGCTCTGAAGATCTTGGCCACCATCCTAGTATAGGTGGCGCCGAAGTTTTTGAGTCCGAAGGCCATGACGAGGTAACAAAAGATTCCCTCTGGGGTCATGAATGTCGTCTTCTCAGCGTCATCTTCATGCATAAAGATTTGGTGGTACCCTTTGAAAGCGTCAAGGAACGACATCAACTCGCACCCCGCCGTCTCGTCCACCAGCTGATCAATGTTGGGGAGAGGGAACGGGTCCATGGGGCATGCCTTGTTCAGGTCAGTGTAATCAACACACATTCTGAATGTTGGCGGTTTTTGGGCGAGGACGACGTTGGCCAGCCACGTCGGGTACTTCACCTCTTTAATGTGGTTG